GCGGTGCCAGGCGGGCGAGCGCTCGCGCTCGCGAGGGCGCCCCGCCGCGGGCGACGGCGATCGCTGGCGCCGCGTGCCCGAGAGCTCCGCCTCGCGCCCCAGGGGGGGCGGGAGGCTGGGGTCGTGGCCGTCGGGCTGTCCCGAAAGGAAAGGACGCCTCGGACCACAACGCCTAGGGAGGAGGAGGAGGAGGAGGAGGAGGAGGAGGAGGAGGAGGAGGAGGAGGAGGAGGAGGAGGAGGAGGAGGAGGAGGAGGAGGAGGAGGAGGAGGAGGAGGAGGAGGAGGAGGAGGAGGAGGAGGAGGACGAGGAGGGGGAGGAGGAGCAGGGACCTCCAGCGTGGGGAACAGAAAGGCAGGCAAATCAGTGCGGGGCTCAGAAGGACCGCCTGAGTGCCACACGGGATGCCCGAGCACTGGCCTGACCTGTCGGCCACGGAACTGCTGCCCCAGACCCGCAGTCAGTCGAGCCAGTGCCTGGGCGTCACGAGAATCCACCAGAAGTGGCTCGGCCGGAGCCGAACGCTGACCGATCCGTCTCACACCCACATGGAGGAGGGGCAGCGTGAGCCGCAGCCGTCCTCCTCGCCGTCGACGCCGTCGTCGTCGCTGCCGTTCTGGTCGTGGGAGTCGTCGTCCTGGCCGCCGCCAACGTCGCTGGAGGGAGCGCGCCAGCAGCAACCGTCCTCGTCGGGGTTCGAAGACCGAGGTTCTGGGGAGACTTTGGGGGCCTTCGAAGGCCTTCGATTCTTTTGAAGACTTTCTAAGCTTTCCGTGGTCTTCGAGATGTTTGGCCTCCAGAGGCGTATGGGAGCCTCCCGAGCCCTTCTGGGACCTCTGGCAACAATCGTTGTCGTCGTCCTCGTTCTCGCCGTTCTAACGCCCTCGTCGTCGTCATCGTGGTCGTTGTTGTCGTGATCGCGGTCGCAAGTCGTGGTGGGAGGGGGAGCGAGGGAGCAGGAGAAGGAGTAGACGTAGCCTGAGGCGCGCTGATCCATCCGAAGAGAGGCTGGCGCACTGACTTTACGGGAGGAAAGGCCTCGCCGCGGGAAAAGAGGCCCGACCGAACATGAAGGAACGGCACGCCAATGATCAACGGCCAAAGGCGGGAGCACGGATTCGCCGCGACCGTTTCAGGTATGAGCGCCCCGCCCGTGAAGTGACCATCCCCCCAACAGCCACCCGCCCCACACCAGCCCATCCACAGTTCATATCTCTGAGTAAGAGACGTAAGAGCCCCGGAAGCGTTCTCTCCGACGGTGTGGTACACAGCTCAGCTCGAATGGCACAGTGTGAAAACTTTGAACTGCGATGATCATCCTGCGTATGGCCGCTGGGCGAGTATCGTCTGGGGAGGCATGGTCCTGATCGATGCCGAGTCCCCACATGACGTGTAAGCGAGGATTCGGGAAGGCGAGGGGGAGGGAGGAGAAGTGCGTGAGATGGGGGCGTTGCCAATAATGGCACATCGAATCCCGTGCAGAGCATCCGAAGTGGCAAGGACGAGACTTCAGATCATGGATCCTGTGGGATGCGATCCAACCCGCGGTGTGTGCCTTCACCGCGCACCACTGGTGGGCCAGGGACATCTGCGAGAGCTTGCGCCGCAGTGATTGCCAGCGAAGCTTTAAATCGGCAGGCGCCTCGGATGATGGATCCAGCACTTTCAGACGCTTGGCGATGGTGGAAGAGAACGTGTCAAGCGAGCGACAGCCCCTGGAAGCATACGGCGTTGACCATCGCGTGCGGCCTGGGCGACTGCATCGCGGCCGGCCCCCTGGGCGGCACGCAGGCAGGCAACCGATATCTGCCTACGAGATGAGATCCGGACGGGGCGGCCGCTGGCCATCGAGGACCACATCTCACCAAAGCTCTGCTGCTGCTGCTGCTGCTGCTGCTGCTGCTGCTACTGCCACAAGGGCGGGCTCTGGAGTCCGCGGAGTCATCGGTCAAGCCGAGGACGCCACACCCCTTCAGTGGCAAGAGCGCAAGACCGGCATGCCGTGGCTGTGCTGTAGGTGACGACGGAGGGGAGCCCCGTTTCCCCCCACGATCGGAGGGAATGGACATCGTCCAGCTTCAATGAGTCTGGGATTATCTGGCAAGCCTGGTGCAGTGCAGAGATCTCGTACCGCAGGACTTTACAATCGACGGCAGAACCCTGCGCGAGACATGACAACACGGGCGTCGTCGAGGCAACGTATGCATGCACATGGATTGCCATCGCAGCGCCAGCGGCAGCCTGGAGCTGAACGCGAGTCCACCACTTCTGGGCAGCAACCCGCCACCGCATGACGGGCGTGGCAGCAGGACCAAGCTACACATAGGTACTTGCAAGCCCCTGCACTTCCAAGCGCAGACAGGTCAGGAGCGAGTGAGGCGAGAAGGACGCGACCTTCGGCCTCGACCTGGGGCGAGCACGCTCCCCGTAACGGCACAAACTTGCATCCTGCGGCCTGGAGTGCAAGATTCGCCAGCTCACGCGTGGCTCGACAGGGTGCCAGAACAGCGCTGAGCAGGCTGGCTCCTGTTAGTGACAGCCCTGCGTCGTCGGCGCACGCCGCCGCAGGGGAGTCCAAGGGGAACGGTCCGCAGAGGTGGCGAGGAGGAACGCCGAATGCAAGCGCCCAGAGAGAACCGCTCAACGGACTAGAAGTCAACAAACATCCACCCCCATCATAACCACCCCGACACGCGAGTCGTTTAGAGAAGGCGCCCGAAGAAGGAATCGAACGGGGCAGGGCCGTTTAGTAAACGCCCAAGGCCGTTCAGTAAACGCCAATTGTCCAATCCGGGTGGTTTTCCTCCCTTGCCGGGCAGCCCTGCAGGACTCCGGAGCTGATCGAACAAACTGGCTCCCTGGCGGGCCCGGGCCTCGCGAAGCCGAGCGGGAGCTCACGTAAGGCACGAGTGGCGCTCGTGAAGCCCTCGGGGGGGCCATGGGCAAGCACGGAAAGAAAGAGGAGCACCTGGGATCGGCTACGGAACGCACCGCGTACCTCAAGAGAGAGAAACATCGGCCGACGCTCCGAGAAGTGGGAGACGCGGCGGGTTTCGAGGTCGAATGACATGATGTTAACCGTAAGGTTGGCGCCCCGGGACAATCACCCGCTGCACGGGTCCGTGCTTTCCTTGACTAGGGGTGCCGAGGCTCGATCAATGACCGACGCATCGATCTTACAATCAAAAGAAGGAGGAGTAGGACCAGTGTAAGCCCAAGACTCGTCAACGATGTTGAAATACACCCTCCCTCCAAGCTCCCTCTTCACAAACCCTTGCAAGGATTCATTTCCGCTGAGGGAAGTGCCCCGTTGGGGGACAATCGTGTGAATATCCTGAAGTCTGCCAGAACACACTTCTCAAGACTTCCACGCCACGGGTCAACTTGACTGTTGCGTCTTGGCGATCCTGAATCGTGCCAGGACGCCATTCCTGGGACTTCAACACCGCGAATCAACCTAACTGTTGCGCCCTGACAATCCAAAACCGTTCCGAAGCTCCATTTCTGGTACGTTATCAATGAGCACCAATGACATTTCTGCAATTGTGTAAAGCGAATGTTCGTGGCGCTAAAGCGAGAACCACATGTTGAAACGGAGCCGCCCTCAATCCGTGAAGTTACTGCAATCTTTTGCGCCGAATGTGCGCGGCGCTAAGGCGAGAACCACGTTCTGAAAAGGAGCCGCCCTCAATCAACGAATTCCCTGCAATCTTTTACACCGAATGTGCGCGGCGCTGAGGCGCGAACTACACTTTGAAAAGGAGCCGCCCTCAATCCGTGGAACCCTTCCAAGTCGTTCAAAACCAATGTGCGCGGCGCTAAGGCGAGAACATTTTTTTGAAAACGAACCGCCCTCAATCCTTGAAGCTCTTGCGAATTGCTCCAACGAGGGTGCGCGACGCTAAGGCGAGAACCAATGTTTGAACGCGACCCGCTCTCAATCCGTGAAACAAATTCTAATCATCAAACGGATGTGCGCGGCGCTACGACGAGAACAACATTGTGGAAGCGACCCGTCCTCCATCCGTGAAACTGGTGCCAATGTTTAAGCTTGACGCTCATGAAGGGTACGGAATTCTCAGGCGAAACACCCAGCCCGCCCTTCCGACTAGCCTCGGGGTGCGACAGGGAGGAGTTCTTCATAAGGGAAAGGAATGGAGGAAGAGTAGCAGCCGCAGCAGCAGCCGGGGGAGGACCAGGATAACTCGGGAAACAAGCGCTGCTCGAGATGCTGGACTCTTAAGTGAAACTGGCGGCTGGTGTCGTCGCTACTACAACTGTCCAGTCTTATTCCTGCGGCCCAAGCTTCCACATCACTAATTGGCAGAAGGAGGCAGGAGGAGGATGAGGATGAGCAGCAGCAGCAGGAGGAAATTCTATACTCGACTGTCGTTCGTCGATCCTGGAACAGCGGCGAACGACAACGACGAGGACGATGACGACGGAGATGGAACATCGGGGCGTCCCAGAGATGGGGCGTCTGAGAGTGGGGTGCGCACATCATGGCCCGAGGCACGTGCGCGGCCCAGGCGGGCGGCAATGGACGCATTGAAATGAGCAGAGGAAGGAGGAGGGGAGGAGGAGGAGGAGGAGGAGGAGGAGGAGGAGGAGGAGGAGGAGGAGGGGGCCAGGCGATCCAGACAAGTATCATGGCCCTGGCCGTGACATCCACCGCCCCCCTTATGAGCATCGGTTCAACCGCCCCCTATCCCCATGGGCGTGGCCCGGGCCCCACCCGTCGATCTGCCCCCCCTGGATGGGGATATATATATATATATATATATATGTGTATATATATATATTATATATATATATATATATATTATATATATAGCGTTTCCCTCCGGGTTTCGCGGAGCACATCCCCAACTGGAGGGGTGGGATGGTGGGGTCTGGGTCGGGATGGGGATGGGGAAAGGGCTCGGTTACACGATGCTGACCCTAGCCATCGCCCCCATCTTGGCCGCCCTCGGGGGTATGCAGAGGGGTCGGCGGGGGGTCCAGCTCCGGCCCGACGCAGCCGCATTGCGGCTGCCGGGCCGGTGCGCAGGAGCTGGCAGCACCGGCTTCCCGGGGCCGTCGGGCCGGCACATCCTGAGCCAAGGCGGCTGGTCGACAGCGGGGGGCAAAGGGCAAGGCCCATGGTGAGGAACTGTTGCTCAGCGTGTCGCGGCAGCGACCCCGGCGACGCGCTCTGCCCTGCGGGCGGCGCGCCCCTACTGGCGGCCCGCCGCGGCGCATGGCGGGCGCGCCGCGTGCGTGCGTCCGGAGAGGCTCAATCCAGACGGAGTACACCCAGACGGACACCGAGCACTCCGAATTGCTTTCCCAGAGATGCGATGTCGTGATTTGTTCAATGCGCGGTCCCCGGAAGTCTCGACCCATTCCCCAGGACCGGTTTTTCACCCTGAGTCGTTTTTTGACTGTCCGGAGGCCCGGCGAGGGCTCCTAGGGGCCGAAATTTGCGAAAACCTCCGTCTTGATTTTTTCAATGCGTTGGATCTCTGGGTTTGCCTGTGGCGATCACCTCAACCAGCCCCACACCTGGCGCGGGGGGCTGCGCAAGGGTACCCATCGGTCGGAAGAACCGGGGTAAAAAAACACGAAGTGGGGAGACGAGGGCGGCAGACGGAACCTCCGCCCGCCCCCGGAAGACGAACGGGCAGGGAGAGCCACTCGGTCCTGGAATCAAGTCGGGCCTGTCCCCCTACAGGGGATTTGTTTGGCGAGAAATAAAACAAATGCCGCAAACATACCCCCAGACGATAAAACAAACATACTCCAAAAAAAGTCGTCCCCAGACGATTCCTGGACTATCTTTGAAGACGCCTCCTGTAGAGGGGCAGGCCCGATCTCCTCTCCTCCTCCTCCTCCTCCTCTCCTCCTCCTCCTCCTCCTCCTGCCCCTCCCCCTCCTCCTCCTCCTCCTCCTCCTCCTCCTCCTCCTCCTCCTCCTCCTCCTCCTCCTCCTCCTCCTCCTCCCCCTCCCCCTCCTCCTTCTCCTCCCTGCTTCCCTCCTGTAGAGGAGGAGTAGGCTGGACCCTGGGGGTCCACAAAGCACCTTCTTCCAACGAGGCCCCCTGCGCAGGGCGCGCGCGCGGGCGCTGCTCCAGCTGCAGCGGCCGCGACGGCGAGGCGCGGGCCCAGGCATGCCCGCGACGTGGAAAAAATCAAGGGGCCCAAGGACACACAACTAAATACACACAACAAAAAGGATTCACCATATTTTCCCATATTTTCTAGGTTTTTGTCTTCCCCCCTGCTTCCCATATTTTCAAATATTTTCTGTGGAATCGACGACTAATTGTGTCTGTGTGTTTTTCCCTCCTGAGAACAATGAGAACGGGAGGCATTTAGCCGTGTTCGGCCTCCGGGGGCCTTCGCCGGGCCCCGGGGCCGTCAGAACACGACTCGGGCTGAGAAACCCGTCCGGGGGAAAAGGGTCGGGACTTCCTGGGAGCTCGTACTGACGGAAAATAAGGACATCGCATGCCTGGGAAGGACGCGTGCGCGGGCGCTGCGCGAGTGGCAGCGGTTGCGACGGCGAAGCGCGAATAGTGCACCCACGGAGGAAAAGAACGCGACGACCGTGACCGAGACTGAACCTGGAATCGCCGGTGTCGCTCTTGGTCAGCGCCCAGCTTGGCCATCGGCAGCTCCTGGATCATCCTCGCGATATCGGCGACGGCAGGCATGCCCCTTGACCAAGATGGGCGTCAGCAGGATCCCGCGACCTCTTGGTCATGGTCATTGGTCATCGTTCATCTTCCCTCGGACCCATACCATCATCCTCCCTATGTCCCTCATTCTCCTCCTCTGGTGCCCCTCCTCCTCCTCCTCCTCCTTCTCCTCCTCCTCCTCCTCCTTCCCCTCCCCCTTCCCCTCCCCCTTCCTCCTCCTCCTCTCCCTCCTCCTCCCCTCCTCCTCCTCCTCCCTCCTCCCTCTCCTCTCCTCCTCCTCCTCCTCTCCTCCTCCTCCTCCTCTCCTCCTCCTCCTCCTCCTCCTCCTCCTCCTCCTCCTCCTTCCTATCTACCTCCTCCTCCTCCACCTCCTCCTCCTCTTCCTCTTCCTCCATTTGTCATTTGTTCGGCCGTCGGGCAGCGCCTTCGTGGCCGCGGCCGCACACAGCTTCAGAAACTAATGAGGGTGGACCCTGGGTGCGGTCTGGGCGACGACGACGACGACGGCGACGACGGCGGCGGTGGCGGCGACGACGACGACGGCGGCGGCGGCGGCGAGCGGCGACGGCGGCCACGGAGGGGATTGGGCCCTAGACCTCTGGTTGATTCCCGCCCAGCACCCACGAAAGAATCCTTGATTCAGAGGCTTTGGGCTGTTGATTGATTCGGGGCCCCTGCGCGCACGCACTCCACACGGTTTTGTTCCTCCGTCTCCTTCGCCTCCTTCTCCTTCTCATGATCGTCGACTCTCCTCGTCCTCCTCCTCCTCCTCCTCCTCCTCCTCCTCCTCCTCCTCCTCCTCCTCTTCGAATCCCCCTCCTTTTTTGCCTGCAGCGATAGGCCCGATCAGCCCCACACCTCTGGCGGGTTGAGTTATCATATCCTAGCGCTCCCGTTTTTTTCCGGCGCTCACAAAGTTCCTCTGGCTTCGTGGCCATCGACCAGGAAAGGGCAGCCTGGCATGACAAGCTGGCCGATCGAGAACTCCAGGGCGCGTACTTCAGAATTAATCCGCTGGAGGCCTGGGGCGGTGGACGACCCACTCCATAGAGGCCTCCTAGATGTGGTCGGAGTGGATGGGGTCCGAAGATCGCGCCGCATCGCCGATACACCGGCGATGCGTCGGCGATGCATCGTCGACGTGGGCGATGCCTCGGCAACGTCGACGTGAGGCAAATCGGGCTCCACATCGAGCCGCATCGGCGATGCATCGGCGATGCGGCGCGATCCTCCGACAGCCCGGCCCCATCTCGGAGCCCTAGACTCTAGGAACCTATGGGTGCGTTGGCGCTGCCAGGCCCACTGCTTCCACCGCGTCGGGCCAGGCTTGCGCCAGGAGGCGCCAGCCTAGGCCGAAGGGGAGGTGTCGGCTTCTCGACTCCTCGAAGACGAGGCACATTCAGGAACGCCCCGCGTACGTCTGGGTCGAGCTAGCGACCGGGGCAACTGCTCATGTCGTCAGAGTCTTGCTGTAAGAAAATCTGAAGTAGGAAAGGGGCTTGCTTGCCCAATTCTGGCCGACCAGGGGTGCTGGGATGGGGTCTGGCACTGGTGAAGACACCGTCTGCGGATGTCTGAACGTCTACATTCTCATGTGTCTGGCTCCTCTTTTATGATCATGAACATGCGGGAAGGGCGCATTAGATAAGGAACAATTGGATGTGGAGTCTAGGGTCTAGAAGCAGGGTTGAACTCCAATCGTGGAGGGTCCATGGATATCACCGTCCCCCTCATCTGATAAGGAATCCTCCAAGGTCTGAAGCTTCCTTGGCACATTCCTTAACGAACGCCCCCACGGGATCTGTTTCTTCAATCCGTGGCCCAGGGAGCCCTCGACTCCGACCCGGGCACGCAGACGCCGAAAATGACGACCTCGACCTTCCGTTGTCGACGACGACGCCGACAACGACCTGGGGCCTCGGAGAACCTCCGAGAGCCCGCGAGAGCCAATTTGCAACCTCGACCACCTCCGACCGAACGGGGGCCGATCGAGCATCGCATCGGGCCCCGCGGGGTCGCGGAGGAGCGCAGGGATCCGCAGTGCCGGCGCCCCGTCCGGCGACGACGTGCTGCTCAGCGCGCGGCCCCGCGGAGGCCCCGACCCCGTCCGGGGCCAGTGTCTCGTCCTGGGTCCGAGCGGACTCCCCTTTAGCTGCCCCGATATGCAGCACGCAACGCGTAGCGTATTGATACCGAGCTCAACGCGTAGGAACACGTCGGTCTGACGCGATACGTTCGCCAAAACGTGGGCCAACACGTTGAGCCGACACGCAGCGTATTGACACGGACGTCTTGAACACGGCACGTGTTGCGTATCAAAACGGGCGTATCGAGGCAGCTAAGAAGCGGACTCGAAGGCCCTCGGAGACCTGCGGGAGCGGAGGGGGCCCGGCGCGGCGCGTGCGGGCGGCTGGCGGCGAGAGCCAGGGCCGCGGTCGCGGCGCTCCCGAGGCGTGGCCGAGGCCTGGCGTCGGGGGGGGGAGGAGGAGGGGGGGGGAGGGAGGAGGATGAGGAGGAGGTGGAGGAAGGAGGAGGAGGAGGAGGAGGAGGAGGAGGAGGAGGAGGAGGAGGAGGAGGAGAGGAGGAGGATGGAGGAGGAGGAGGAGGAGGAGGAGAGAGGGAGGAGGAGGGAGGAAAGGGAGGAGGCAGAGAGAGAGAGAGACAAACAAATATATAGAATAGAGGTAGAGAGAGAGAGGGGAGAGAGAGAAAGATAAAGAAAGAGGAAGGGAGGATGCAGGAGAGGGGAGGGAGAAGGGAGGAGGGAAAGGAGGGAGAGGGGATAGGGCAGAGAGGCATAAGGATGAGGGAAGAGAGGAGGGAGAGAGAAGGGAGGAGAGGAGGGAGGAGGGAGAGGACGGAGGAGCAGGAAGGTAAGAGCGTGAACGTTCGAGGAAATCCTCGGCGAAAGCGGCGTGCCTGAAGGAAGTCTCGGGCGGGAGCCCACGACGGGCGGGCGATCCCGTGACGGGCGGGTCGGTCGGGTGGGACATTCAAGCGGGATTGCTGAGCATGGCGAGAGCGCGATTTCTAAGTAAATTGTAACGGCGTCCTTGGCGCAGCGTGTTTCCTGAGCGTCGAAACCGCGATTTCTGAATACATTGCATGGAAGTCACAGGCGAGAGCGCAATTCCTGAATAACATGTGAAGGGTTCTCTGGCGGGAGCGGGGGTCTTGATTAAATTGCGAGGAAGTCTTGACTCAATGGCAAGGAAGTCTCGAGCAGGAGCGCCGTTCCTGAGTAAATTGTGAGGAAGTCTCAGATGGGAGCGGGGGTCCTGACTAAATTGCGAGGAGGTCACAAGCGGGAACACCGATCCTAAGTAAAGTGTGAGGAATTCTAAGGAGCGGGAGTCCTGAGTAAATTTGGAGGAAGTCTCAGGCGGGAGCCATAACAACATCAACAACAACACCACCAACAACACCACCAC